CCGGTGCTTGAGGTACCTAAAAGCACCGTTAATGAATCGGGAGGATCCGTAATGACGTGTTTTGGGCGACGTCGACTGTTTACCATTTGGTCTACAGGATCGGGTATGTAATTCCCAGCGGCCACGACAAGAGGGTTCTCATGTCGTTCCGCCTTCTCAAAGTGGCGCAATGATGCCGACTGTAGATACTTACTGACTGAGAAAACGTCCGCCATCAAAGTATAGTTCAACCCGGCTACATATTATATATTAGTGTAAATAACATTATTGTAGACACATCATTTCATTTTTGAAGTCGTTGTGGTCTAACGGATAAGACGTCCGGTGCATTCGCGTTAAGCGCGATGCACCGGTGTTCGAATCCCGCAGGCGGGTACCAATTTTTCTAATGAAATACGTACTCAACAAATGTTCACGATTGACTTCCACGGTGAAGGAATAACATCGTGTAATAAAAGTGAAACCCGCAAAATTATAATTTGCGTAATTACTGGTGGTAGGACCTGTTGTGAGTCCGCGCGGGTAGGTACCACCGCCCTGTCTATTTCTGCCGTGAAGCAGTAATGCGTTTCGGTTTGAAGGGTGGGGCAGCCGTTGTAACTATACTGAGACCTTACAACTTAAATCTCAAGGTGGGTGGCGCATTTACGTTGTAGATGTCTATGGGCTCCAGTAACCACTTAACACCAGGTGGGCTGTGAGCTCGTCCACACATCTAAGCAATAAAAATAAAAAAATCGGAGACTGAGTACCCAGGGATAGACTTAACTATGCCTTTGGCGTTGCTGACGTCCATGGGCGACGGTAACCACTCACCATCAGACAGACCGCATGCTCATCTGCCTATAAAAGAAATAATAAAAACCTAACGCGCGTTGATAGCTAACTTATTTCACTAGGCGTCTTTTAGTGACCACCATTTTTAAGGTCGTCTTAAATATGATATTGTATATGACATTCATAAAATCTTTATCATCGAAGCCAAGGGAACATATTTTCTTAATTATTGTAAAAGTAACACAAAGCCTTAAGCTAACTCACAGAATAATGACTTTAATAGTGAACTGTATAAACATTGTTGTTCTAGTTTAAAAAAAGGTTCATACGACCTTTTTTTACGCGCTTCATTGTTTTCGCTTTAAAACACGTCATAGAAGACTGTTCTATTTGAAGAGCAGTATAGAACATTTTCGTAAATTAATAAATGCATTTACGACTTTTTGTAACCGAAGTAATTATATTCCTTGAATTAGATCATTAAGTTTGTGAACGTTATCCCTATCTCATAGATACAAACAGACGGAGATGTCAACGCCGCTGGACTGTATGGTCTATTCTGGGTCGCTCGAGTTTTGTTTGTCGACATATAAAAACCGACTTCAATAAAGGAGGCGGTTATCGATTGTATTTTTTTGAAGTGATAACTTCTTTTGGGAGGGTAAAGCGCTTCGTTACGTAACGCGTTACGGCGTCACTTTATCTGCCTTCCCTTTCTCTCACGCATACGGGCAGCTGTACTGAGAACATGTTATGTAGCCCCTAAATATTTTTATATCTTTTTCAATTTCAAGTTACAATTTTCCTTGCATTATCATGTTAATATCATACATAAAATTTAAGTTATAACCTAAGCTTTTCTCAAGTTATACAATTTCGATATTAAATAGTTCAACTTAGATTAGCTTAAGTTTTCTAAGTGGAACGAATTCTGCTGATTCTTTTCTTAGGCAAATTTCATTGAGGTTTCACCAATTTTTTTTCTACCTATGCTGATAGCATTGAGAGGCTATTTCAGATTCTCCTTGATGTGTAGGAGAGCTCGCGGGGGCTCAAATCGGGAGTGTTGCTAACACTGGCCCTAGCATGAGCAGTGCTTCGCAGAATCTACTACCGGATCGGGAACGCGACTCACTGAGAAGATCCGGCGAGAAACTCAGTGGGCTGTGTCTGTGGGTTAATTTACTCGCTGAGCCCTTCGTCGCAAGCGACCGGTTCGGCGAGGATGGTGACCAGTGCTTGAGGTACCTAAAAGCACCGTTAATGGATCGGGAGGATCCGTAATGACGTGAACCACCAGTACTTTTTGAGCTATCCTTAATGATGCATTTTCAATTGGCTTCGACTGTATTAATGATACCGGGGGGTGAAAGACTTTTTGGTGCATCAAAAACTCGATGTTTTTAATTGGACTCCAATTAAGTTCACTCAATGCAAATAGCTGAAGAAGTTTTCTGTTGTTATGATATTTTTTCTAAATGTTATGCTTTAAATAGCTCTCTTGCAAAAATGTATTTTTGATGATGATGATTTTTCTCGAAAATATTTTTTTAACCAGAAATGGACAAAAAAATTTATCCACGACGGTGAGACCACTTATCATCTAATGAGCTGTATGCTCGCTTGTCCAGTAACTCAATAACAAATTCAATGCTAGAGAATGTATTTTCAATTTATTTTCGGTCATTAATCGATTTTTTTGAATGTCGATTGTGACATTATAATATCGAAATGCATTATCGAACGATATGACAATATAGTGTTCCTGAATAATTTACGGCCACCAATTAGGCTGCGCGCGATGCTATCGCTGTTTTTTGTGATTCACCATTCGGAACACAGAAAACTGTGGAGTATCCATTCTTCTGCATTTGTGTTAGTGTAGAATTTGAAAATTGTATATACATAAAATGTATTAGTGTTTCATAGGTTATGTAAATTACTTATTCTTTTTTATTGTTTTTTTTTATTGCCCTTATAGGCAGACGGGCATATGGCCCACCTGAGTGGCTATCGTCAGCAATGGATCTAGCGATTCTTGGTTTTTTATTTTTTTATTGCTTATATAGCTAGACGGGCTCATAGCTCACCTGGTGTTTACTGGAGTCTAAAGATATTTGCAACGTAAATGCGCCACCCACCTTGAAATATAAGTTCTAAGGTCTCAAGTATAGTTACAACGGCTGCTCTACCCTTCAAACCGAAACGCATTACTGCTTTCCCGGCAGAAATAGGCAGGGTGCTGGTACCTACTCGTGCGGACGCACAAGAGGTCCTACCATCAGTAATTAGGCAAATTATAATTTCTATAAGGCTTGAGAAGTCACTTAACATCAACTGAGCCGCCATAAAACCAATGCACAAAAAATATCTCCAACCAAAAATACGAACTCCATATTGTTTTAAGCTATTAAAATTTCAAGGCTTAACGAGGTCTCCACGCCTCTCCCTATTCCTAGAGAGCCCTCAAGATATCCCCCGACGACAGAAACATAATCCTTTTTATTTCATTTATAACCCATTTATTTTATAGAAGACGTAAAAAAAGAAACAAATGCTTTTTTTTATACGTTCTCTTCCACTGATATGTCTCTATCAATGTTCTATGAGAGACATTACGATTCGATTATTTAATGTTTTTGAAGAGTAAGGCGAGCGAATTAACCCACAGACACAGCCCACTGAGTTTCTTTCTGAGAACAAAAAAAAGAATCAAATACTGAACCATCTAGACATGTCGCTTCCAGGTACCAAGAATAGCGGTACATGACGTATGTATACACTATGGTAAAATCTAAAATTAACTAAACAAATCATGCATCAATTGACGCTAATAGTAACTATACAATGTAATAGTAATAAAAAAGTAAAGGTAAATATTTAGAAAAACCTACCTGAAACGTTACTTCAAGAAAATAATTATTGAAATAAAAGTAATTCGAAGAGATATGGCTAGGATTTTCATGGATTTAATTTTGTTTATTTAATAAGGCGTTCAATATGGTGTCCCAATTTTTAGACTGCAAATTAATATGTATAGTCCGGCCGTTGAATGTACGCCATTGTGACAGATATTATATCATATGATCTAAAACGATGTTACCTACGTATATAATTGAGGTGGTTGTACATTCTTCGTTCATTCTTGTTGTTTACGTACGTATTAAGGTATGATTGAACTCGGGATAAATATTGTAATGTTTCGCTCAATTAAGTGCTGCATATATTGCTTTCTCTCGACCGCCGGACTTTAAAGTTATAAAAACTTATTTGCAATATTGCAGTAGCTACAAATATAAACATAACAACACTACAAACTATTAAGTATATACAATAGATATAGAACAACACCAAAAAGCATAGTAATTAATAAATTGAAAAAACATTTAAAATAAAAATACTTATTAAAAAAATCCGGAGATTATATTATAGGATAGGACTATAGTAAAATATATATATTTTTTTTAACGTATTAAAATTCAAAATATAACAAATTTAAATGCACCTACACCATAAATATGGAGGGTAGAGGCAAGGAGCGCCATCTTGTATAGGGAATACGTTGAAGATATGTCCGCCTGTAAACATTAAGCTATTGTTGGAAGACTCACCGGAACAGCGCTAGTGTTGGAAGTGGAAACGATACGAGTATAGCATTTTTAAACAGAGTGAAGTGTATCTGTCGCTTGTGACGAAGGGCTCGACGAGTGAATTAACCCATAGACACAGCCCACTGAGTTTCCCGCCGGATCTTCTCAGTGGGTCGCGTTTCCGATCCGGTGGTAGATTCTGCGAAGCACTGTTCTTGCTAGGGCCAGTGTTAGCATCACTCCGGATTGAGCCCCGTGAGCTCACCCTAATATTAGGCCGAAGCTGAAATAGCCTCTCAAGGCTATCAGCATAGGTAGGAAAAAAAAGCAGAAAAAAATAGGGCACTGTTTTTAAAATCTTTCCATTTGCTATTACAGCGTCACCCTAATTGGCTTCTTTTCAGCGAACATTTTTTAATACACTGAGATCGTGCCTATTACTTCTACCCTCAATAACCATAAGCTAAATATAAATAAATAAAATAGTTCCACAACACAATGCGATTATGCAAACGAAGCGAAAACAAAACGCGCCAAAAACAAAAAAACACATACACACACACAAACAAAATGGCATCAAAAAAATGGCGTCAACAAAATGGCGTCACGTCGAATCTGCGAGGCGGGACAAACCTTTCGTCGCATCTGCAATGCATCAGCGTATTGACGCGCCAATTGTAGACTCCGTATTTTCTCTCCATCCCGCCAATCCAGAAGGGGCACTTGAGGTCGTGGACCCTGCAGCAGCGGTCCGTGCGCGTGTACCGGCCCAGCTGGGAGTACTTCGTTGCCGAAAATCCTTTCCCGCACCATTTCGTCCCCGGTACTCGAAGAAGTTCCAAAACTTCTCGCTTTGGTCTGAGACGGAATTTTTATTATATACCTCATTTATTTCGATCTTTTTTTATGTTTATTTTTTTTTTATTCCTTAGATTACTGAAGCCCTCCTGTGAGAAATTGGGGGAGGTGAAGGACCTCGGCCCTTCTCTTCTCCCCTTCTTCCTCTCAGGAGGCGCCGGAGTCCGACATAACCCGGTCCGTTACCCCCCTCGACCGGGTATCCGGATTCCCAAGCGTTAAAAAAAAAAACTGAAGCCCATAGACATCTACAACGTAAATGCGCCACCCACTTTGAGATATAAGTTGTATAGTTACATAGGCTACCCCACCCTTCAAACCGAAACGCATTACAGCTTCACGACAGAAATAGGCGGGGTGGTGGTACTTACCCGTGCGGACTGAAATTGCGGATTTCGATTTTACAAGAAACATTAAACGGAATTGTTTTTAAAATTAGCGAATTAAGAATATTATATAAATACAATTGTGCTAACGTTAATTAATATCATAATAATACTAATTTGTAACGTCACATTCGTCAATGAACTTTGAGAACATTTGCAGCTATGTACGTCAATATGTAAATTTTCTAATAAAAAAACTAAATAGAAATAGTTTTGAAATTAACAATTAAAAATAAAACTGTTTTAATGCTAATTTATATCAAAATAATATCAATATAAAATAACATCATTCGCCAATCAACTCTAATAACATTTGCAGTTACGTCAATAGATATTAAAATTTGTAATAGCCACCTCATTGAGTTATTATATGATCGTCAGTATCCCTTTATCATGGAAGTCATTCGTGGACATAATTTAACTAATTAAAAAATAAAAAATAAAAAAATCGCCTACTGGATTCGAACTTGGGCACATTCGCGTCTTTCGATCCGAATACACCAGCCGTCTTATCCGTTAAGCCACGACGACGAACGTAATTTGAAATGGTTATTAATTATTGTAACTATTACTTTCTTTTTGTTTGATAATTAAACACTGCTGCCCTTAATTGGTATGTTAATTAGAGTTTTACGCCAGCGTATTTTATTGTTGTTTTAATACGTTTAAGTTTACGAGAAATCGCCGTCACATTATTCTAATTGGTTAATTACGATTTTAGTTGTTTTTTTTTGTATTGACCCTTCCTTCACTCGATGTTTTAATACTGATTTTCGATGTGAAATTTACGAGTTTTATCAAATTCAAATTCAAAATCATTTATTTCAATTTAGATGTCAGTATAACACACTTGTTGAATGTCAAAATATAAATAACAATGTTAACTCTACCACCGGTTCCAAAAAAAGCCACAGTCCTGAGAAGAACCGGCGAAACAAACTCAGCCGGCTTTTTTTTGTTTTTTCTCACATATTCCTTTTTTTTAATAAAAAAATAAAAAAAATACATTTAAAGGAAAAACACGTCACAAAATACAATTAAAAAAAATAAAAGAATTATGAAAAATGAAAAGGCCAGGAGGACCACCTCATTTCCAGTGAACATTCAAAGTTCATTATCAGTGAACTTAATTTAATTTTGTTTATAGGTCTCAATCTGAATAATAATATCTTGTATTTGAGTTTAATCTGTGGTTAGTGTACGAATTAGAAAACATTCAATGCAGAGTTCAGGTGAGCCTCCGATAACGCGGTATTTTCTACAACACAGTTTCACTCTTAACACGAAAAGAAAAAATCCCCAAGATCCTTTTATAACACGGTACTTCTAGAACACGATAACGAAATTTTTGTTTGAATTGATTTAGCTATGAACACACAATATTATATGGGAATAACCGAAATTGTATTGCTTATTTTTTATGTATAACTAGTGGACCCGGCGAACTTTGTTCCGCTACACGGTTTGTTTCAAACACATCAACCAGTCAACTTCAAAATTCTACTATAATTAACCATAGAATATATTATGTTTAGCTGTCAGTTGCGTTTTGTTATTCCATATCAGTTGCGTTTTGTTATACCACGTTTCATGTCGCGTCCCACGGGAACGTGATAAAAATCCTATGTCCTTCTCCTGGTTTTAAGCTACCTCCTCACCAATTTTCAACCAAATCAGTTCAGTCGTTCCTGAGCTATAAACAGTGTAACTAACACGACTTTCTTTTATATATATATAGATAAGTAAAAAATACATACAGGCATAGTTGATATGTTTCAATCAGAAAAAGTACTCGTCCTTTTTGTACTGGCTTCTAGTCTCATATAAAGCGGTTTCGCACAACACGTGTCCTTATAGGAACGTATCTACCGTGTTATAGGAGGTTGTACCTGCGTTAATTCTCATGCGCATGTTGCTCTCCTTCTAAACTAAACTAAGCTAAACTGGGAACTGCATTGTATTAATTGAACTAGCGACCCGCCCTCGCTTCGCTTCGGAAACTGTAATTTATTATTGATTTCTCCACTATTTATTGGATGTTATTATATATATAAACCTTCCTCTTTATTTACTCTATCTATTAAAAAACACCGCATCAAAATCCGTTGCGTAGTTTTAAAGATTTAATCATACATAGGGACAGACAGATATAGGGACAGAGAAAGCGACTTTGTTTTATACTATGTATTAATAATTGAATGTCTAAGTTATACACTACCACAATCATCAATCAAGACGTGACCAAACTAAAGACTTCCTGAGAATTTCATTAAAGTCACTCCAAACATTTTCAGAGTCCATGGGATAGATAATTTTACGTATATATTACTAATATTATAAAGAGGAAAGATTTGTTTGTTTGTTTCGAATAGGCTCCGAAACTACTGGACCGATTTGAAAATTTCTTTTTCCATTAGAAGCCGACATTTTCCCTGATGAACATAGGCTACTTTTTTTATTTTATTTTTTTATTTTTTTTTGGTACATCTGTGTTTTAATGTTTCCGAAGCGAAGCGAGGACGGGTCGCTAGTATATTATAAAGACCGTTGATTCTTTAGTATAAACATGAAAATCAGTAAACAATGAAGACAATTTTTTTTAATTATAATATTATTATAATTTTTTATTGCTTAGATGGGTGGACGAGCTCACAGCCCACCTGGTGTTAAGTGGTTACTGGAGCCCATAGACATCTACACCGTAAATGCCGCTACCCACNGAAGCGAGGACGGGTCGCTAGTATATTATAAAGACCGTTGATTCTTTAGTATAAACATGAAAATCAGTAAACAATGAAGACAATTTTTTTTAATTATAATATTATTATAATTTTTTATTGCTTAGATGGGTGGACGAGCTCACAGCCCACCTGGTGTTAAGTGGTTACTGGAGCCCATAGACATCTACACCGTAAATGCCGCTACCCACCTTGAGATATAAGTTCTAAGGTCTCAGTATAGTTACAACAGTTGCCCCGCCCTTCAAAACGAAACGCATTACTGCTTCACGGCAGAAATAGGCAGGGCGGTGGTACCTACCCGTCCGGACTCAAGAGGTCCTACCACTAGTAAAAACTTAACCTTTTTTCAAATAATCTGCTAAAAATTTGCGTAAATAAAGTCGTAAAGCAACCGAATATATCGTTTTGGATTGACGGATGAAACGGTAAATGGTATGATCGGGATAATGACCTCATTAAGCCGCATATACCTAATCAGATGTGCCGTGAGCCCAACTAATATACCTAATATCGAGGGCTGAAAGGCTGTTTGGTTTTTTTTATTCCTTAGATAGGTGGACGAGATCACAGCCCAGCTGGTGTTAAGTGGTTACTGGAGCCCATGGACGTCTACAACGAAAATGCACCACCCACCCTGAGATATAAGTTCTAAGGTCTCAGTACAGTTACAACGGCTGCCCTACCCTTCAAACCGAAACGCATTACTGCTTCACGGCAGAAATTAGCAGGGTGGTGGTACCTACCCGTGCGGACTCACAAGAGGTCCTACCGAGACATCTAAGCGACATTTCGCTTAACACGCGACATTTATCTTTGTAATTAAAGTTGCGTTTGATTTGGATATCAGCATCAACAATTAAATGTTTTTAATTGAGCTTCAAATAAGTTAACTCCATTTCAATAATTGAAAACTTTTGAAAACCTATGGCTCTTCTGTAAAGCTGCAAAAATGTCGCTCAAACCAATTATTAGCCTTTCAACTCTCGCTATATTATACATCTATCTATATATATAAAAATGAATTGCTGTTCGTTAGTCTCGCTAAAACTCGAGAACGGCTGGACCGATTTGGCTAATTTTGGTCTTAAATTATTTGTAAAAATCTCGAGAAGGTTTAAAAGGAACGTATAAAATATAAAAATGCTCGGAATTAAATAAAAATAACAATTTTGTTTTTCCTTTGATGTGTCCCCAGTCGGACGGATTCCTTTTGTTTGTTTTAAGTTTATTTTATATAAAAGTTTAGGTCTTTTATTTATCGATTGAGGCACTACGAAGTCTGCCGGGTCAGTTTGTAGTAGAATAAAAATACAATCAACATTGGCTAATAATACGCGTTTTCAATTCACACGAATCTACTTATTTAGTATGAATCTATTTTTGAGTATTACACAATTTCACTTAGACATCACTAAAAAATGGACCACTTTATGTTTAGTGATTATAATTGTATCGAATCGTAAACGCGAGGAGTCATAAATCCGGTTCGATTCCCGTTTAGGTAATAAAAACGCTTCGTACGATCAATGGACGATATATAAGTATACTAGACTTAAACTAGAAAATAGGAGTATTTCAGAATGGATAAACAATAAAATACTTAATTGTGTTTTGTGTGATATAATAAGAACAAAAACATTGAAAACCCTGAAGCTCTTTAAAAATGAATACAAAAATTTAAATAGTAAATAGTATTAATAAACTATACAAAACTGTATTCTCTTTTTACTGAATGACAGACCATGACACTGAAGAAAAAATCTTAAAAACAAAAGAGTAAAATATATTTCTTTATTGCTTAGATGGGTGGACGAGCTCACAATCCACCTGGTGCTATTTGGTTACTGGAGCCCATAGACATCTACAACGTAAATGCGCCACACACCTTGACATATAAGTTCTAAGGTATCAAGTATAGTTACAACGGCTGCCCCACCCTTCAAGCTGAAACGCATTACTGCTTCACAACAAAAATGGGCAGGGTGGTGGTACCTACTCGTGCGGACCCACAAGAGGTCTTACCACCAGTAATTTCATTACTTAGATCGGTGGACAAGATGTTAAGTGGTTGCTGGAGCCCATGGACATAACCACAAAGTGAATGCCACCACCGAACTGCACACTTGATTCCCAATTTTTTTCCTACTGCTAATAACCTCGATTGGTTGTACTAGTTTCACGGAACGTGTAGGCAAAGCTCACGCGGTTCACTCTGACAGACTTTGTCAACATTAGTTCTAGCAAGAGCAGTGCTCGCAGAATCGCTTCGCAGGTCGGAATCGCGACCCACTGAGAAAAACCGGCGAGAAACTCAGTGGGCTGTGTCTATGGGTTAAACTGTATAACGCGTACACCACTATTTGTTATTCCTCGTGGGTCTTTGAGGGTGAAGCATGCGGGCGGGGCGAACAGCAAGCTTCCAGAAAATTGCAGTGGCGGGAAGCCATTATAGAACACAAGATATTTGACATATGCCTGAATTTCGCTCACGAAGCTTTCAAGATAAGCTTGCATACAAGTTCCGAACAACAACATTCGAACCGTCGGTCTACCGAGCAATATCACCCACTCGATGGAAGATCTTTTTTTCGTAGTTAACTCTCAAATAGTCGACATAGAAAGGTGTTTAATTGTGTTCACCTCAGTTCTCGTGGTTCACTCTTAAACTATTCGACTGTGTTAGTAATAATAATAAGAATAAGAATAAAAAAGAAAAATGCAAAAGGAGGTGGCTCAGCTAATGCTGTTCAAGGTCAATAGATCGAAGAGCGCTGATTTTCAGTCACCCCCGTTTCCTTTTGGTTCGTTGTGGGTATGAAGACTTAGTCTTCGTGTGTACATACTTAAAACATAATAAATAGTATAAACTGGTATAAAAATAAGAAAAAGCAAAACAAAAATCAAATTAAATAGTGAATTCGTTATAACTGTTTTTTTTTTCCTATTATTAACGCAATATTTAAATTATATTACGTCGATGGCGTTTCGGAACGTACCATAGATCACTTTGTTATGTTTTTATTACGGTTATTTGTATTATTAAGTAACGCTTCGAACTGATTGGCGTTCGATGTCTTTACAAGTTGTAATTTACAAGGCCCAGCTTGTGTGGATTGGCTCGGGGTATGTGGGATGCGAAAGGCAGGAGACGGAAGGGAATAGGGTGAATTCGAAGAGACCTACCATTGGGTGGACATGGGTTGAAAAAGAGTTCGAGGACTTGACGGTTCGCAGATGTTGGAAGCGAACCGCGTGCCGAGGGATGTTTTAGGGATTTACCTATTAAATGAGTCCCATTGCGCTCTCCCACCCGACGTCGGACTTTCGTGTGGGGTCAGAACCCAGGCAGAGTAGGGGGGTACTCGCCGTAATTACTACAACCAGAGTCCCGCCGCCATCCCGGAGTCTTAGCCTTTGATAACTACTAGTTCGTTAGCTAATCAATACAAGGTGGGGATATTGTAGACTGACACATAATCATTACGCGCCTATGGCAAGTACTAACCTTTGCGGTATTAAACGCGATGAGAAATGAATTTTTTATTTTTATTTATTACCTCTTTCTAAGCAGCAAGAAAGCCTCTGGTCTGCTGGGGTGCAGCTCTGGAAGAAGTGGTCCTTCATCACGGCGATTCGTAAAGCCGGTTCAATCAAAGCCACCGGTTTTCATTAAGTGCCCCTTCAAGGCTTGGCGGTTTGGGAACCGCGTGCCAATTTTTGACAATTGATGAACGTCTTTGATTCCGAAGGCTGAACCTGACCCAAAACCTCTACACGCCAATCAAAACACGCCGACGAAAACATACAAACAAACCATCACCCACAATATATACAAAAACGTGAAAATGTATGAATAGATACAGATGATGCAAACCCACGGTGCCAATGTGTCAGATCCAAAAAAAAAAAACCAAACCAAAACAACGAATTTTCAACGATTCGAAATTTAAAACGACCGTTATCAATTCGAATTTGGAACGTGCGAAATTTAAAAAAAAAACAAAAAAACCGACCAACCTCCTATCGCAGCGACAGTGCGATATCGTATACGGTCTGTAGTTGAAGTACCCGAAGCGGCGCCGGAAATTGCCGATGTTCGTTTGGCAGTTGTCGTGTTTCCGACAACAGCGGTCGACGGCAGTCTCGTCTCCCAGCTCCTCGTAGTCGGAGGCCAGCTGACCGGCCCCGCACCATTTAGTCCCTGGCAGTATGAAATTCTCTCTGATCGACCTCCGCGACCTGACACAAACGTTTCCTTTGCCAATTTTTTTATTAACACAATCGTCCCATCATTACTCATTGTTGGATGAAGACGTCTCTCCAATGCACCTCTCAAACAATAGCCCTTCGAGCCGTCGATAGATCGACCCACTGATAATGTATTTAAAGTGCGGAGCGTCGCTATACCGATTATTTGCGCTATTTTTTCGTGAATTTATATGTGAAAATAAGCTCAGCATTAAAACTGTTAATATCCTGAGTTTTTTCGAGTAGCGTTTTAGAGTTAAAATGCTAGAAGTCGTCGTGGCCTAAAGGATAAGACGGCCGGTAAATTAATTAGCATCTAGTAACGTGACTGTCTCCGTGTTCGAATCCTGCATACGGGCACTAATTTTGTAAATGATTTACGTACACCACGAAGGAATAATATTGTGTCAATTTAATGAGCGTGTATTATCTATGGTGGCGAAAGGGGTGATTTCGAAGAGAGACTTTTGGCGGGAACGCGAGGAGTGAAGTTGTGTGATTTATTTTATTTTCTCTATTTAAGTATGTTTCTTCAGGTTTAAATGTGTAATAACGGTGGTTTATTGACTGTTTAATATCTGTGAAAGTGCACAAATGTGGGAAAATGAAACAAAGCCGCTAGACGTAGCTTCTCGGGATCCTCCAAAAAGTCCACTGAAAAAACTCAGTAAATTACCACCATTTTACTGAGATTATACTTCATCCCATATCATCTCATCTCATTTCATTTAATTTCATCCCAGTTGATTAATTTGTTAAATTAATCATCTTCATTTCATTTCATTTCAATTCATTTCACTCCACAATATCATTTTTCATAAAAATAAGAATATGAATTAAAATAAGGCATGGCCTAAAGGTTTTAGTTACCAGGTCATAAAATCCCTTAAAAAAATGATTTCGAAGAAGGCGCCAAATGTTTTTAGATTAAATTATGGAGGGTAGAAGTAAGGTGCACAATCTTATATATTATAGGGGACAAGTTGAAAAATTGTCCGCAAGTAAACAGCGGACTAATTTATGTGTATTATCTATGCAGCGAGCTATTGTTGGAAGACTCGGCGAAACAGCGCTCAGCGCTAGTGTAGGGAGTGGTAATTATGTGAATATAGCAGTTTTAAACGGAGCGAATTGTGCTGGATTGAAGTGATGTTAACCATAACCACCATATCACCATAATTGGCTCCCTTTCAGCGGACACTTTTTAATACAACGAAACTCTTTTTTAAATGGATTTTATGACCTGGTAACTAAGACCTTTAGGTCAAGTCTTATTTTAATTTTAATGAAAACTTTTTTAATATGAACAATGATATTAAGAAATGAAGTTGATTAATATGAAACTTAGCATGAAATGAAATGAAATGAGATGAGATGATATGAGATGAAGTACATTCTCAGTAAAATGGTGGTCATTTACTGAGATTTTTTCAGTGGACGTTTTGGAGGAACCTGAGAAGTTACGTCCAGCGGCTTTGTTTCATTTTCCCACATTTGTGCACTTTCACAGATATTAAACAGTTAATAACCCACCGTTATTAGACATTTAAACCTGAAGAAACACTAAATAGACAAAATAAAACAAATCACACAACTTCACTCCTCGCGTTCCCGCCAAAAAGTCCAGACTGTGCTCTTTAGTTCTACCCTCCATAGATTAAAACGTTGAACTCGATTACACCGGCTCCACATGTTGGCCCCAACGTTGCTACCAACGTTGAGCAGTTAAATTGGTGAAGTGTCCACACGTTGGCTGTTATACTAGTTCCTTTGCGTCAGAGCCAACGTGGAGATGTGCGATACTGAAATTGAAATTGCTCTAAGCGCTCTTATAGTACTGAGTGTGTATAATTTATATTTGTTATTGAAAATAAATAAAAAATCCACGACAAAGGAGATGGTGGATGACACCGCGACATGCAACTTCGATGCGTGTTGCAATAGGACTGAGCAAAGCGCCAGCATGTGGACGGATCGCGAACGTTGGGGCCAATGCTATATTCTAGATCCACACGTTGGGCGAGTGGCGTTGGAGCCTATGTTGGGGCCAATGTGTGAAACCGGCGTTAGATCTGCTACGTTGATATGCCGCTCGCTACAACCGACTTATTTGTGTGGTTTGGTGATTTATAACTTGCTGGTCAGACAGTTCACCTCACTTCTCCCCTTCTCTCTCTCTCTCTCTCTCTCTCTCTCTATCCCTTTCTCACTCTCTCTCCTTCATACAGCCAAGGTATACTAATATTCGTTAGACAAAGACATATTGATATAAAGAAGATACAATAGATAAAAAAAATGGTTCGCGTGCAACTTGGTGTACGTGAAAGAAGTTAAACTTCTTTTGCGGTGTATAAGTATTGTGGTTTTCTACATTTTTCATTCTTTAAATCAAATTGCTGTAATAGGGATGCTGTGTATAAGAGAAACGACCTAGCTCGCTTTGTCCTCTCCCTCTCCACACGGTCGAGTGATTCGCGAGACGCTCTGTCTATTTTCTCACTCTCTCTCTCTCCCTAAACTGTATCCTTTCTCTCTAGCCGTAACGAATTTATCGCGAGTTAAATTTTACTCTCAACGCACTTAAAGAAGTTTCACTTCAATAATGCGTAGTTTGAAAATATACCGGAGGCTAGTCTAGGCTAGTTAAATTAATATCGGTAATACAACATCGACATCCATATTGAGATTTAAGGGAGATATATCTAAGGTGGATATTCCAATGGTTTTCTTTAGTAATTCCCTTCAAATCGGAACTAGTTATTGTTTTATTAATTTTTCTAATGAAATACGTACTTAACAAATATTCACGATTGACTTCCGCGCCGCTTAAGGAATAAATAACATCGTGTAATAAAAATCAAACCCGCAAAATTATAATTTGCGTAATTACTGGTGGTAGGACGTCTTGTGAGTTCGCACGGGTAGTTACAACCGCCCTGCCTATTTCTGCCGTGTAGCAGTAACGCGGTTCGGTTTGAAGAGTGGGGCAGCCGTTGTAACTATACTGAGACCTTAGAACTCATATCTCAAAGTGGGTGGCGGCATTTACGTTGTAGATGTCTATGGGCTCCGGTGACGACTTAACACCAGGTGGGCTGTGAGCTCGTCCAACGAAGCAATAAAAAAAAAATGGTTCTGAAGTTGTCGTGCCCTAAGTGTTAAGACGTCCGATGTAAGTCGTATTGAGCGAGGCGGCTGTATCGGTGTTCGAATCCCGCAGTCCAGTTATCGATATTTTTTAAATAAAATAACAAAAAAATTAACAAAAAATCTAAGCACCTCAAAATTTTTAGATTACGTAAATACTTGAGACATATATCATGATTTCTATTGGCGACTTAACACTAAGCAAATAACAAATGTCAATGGGCAATACCCATCCTAGTATAATTCTTTAAATCAGTGTTTTGAAACAGTAATACAATTATACCTACGTAATTTTATTGGCATTGTTTATACTTGCATACACATGGAAATAAGGGAATTGGTAAAAATGGTTTATTAATTATTTTGTTTCAGTATTAATATGGAGCTCCAAAAAATTCTTTGCAGAATAAAAAATTGAAAACGTGTATTTGTTTTAAATTAGATTTTTTTAAAATGATAAGATGTTTTGACAGTGGTTCCATTTTTAAGTGATCTAAATGAAAAAAAAGCAGCATTAAATAAACAGTTAGTTCAATTCAACGGAAAAAAACATTTTTAGATTAATATGTAAGACGCGTTTAAAATAATGGCGGCCATGTTTTTTCGGAACAACGAGAAGTCAATAACATTATTTTAAAAGAGCATAGGTAATTGAACTTACTGCAAATCTAATGGTTAGTCGTTACCGTATTTTATGGACATCGATAATGTTATAGGCAAAACAATACTAAACTTTATTTCTCGAAGCATTACATATATTTTTCCATTTCATATTTTAATTAGAATTAAGTTTTTCATTTCCCGTAGCAAGCAATGATTAATGTCTCATATAATATTATATTTTTTTTAAATCCGAGGCACCAGACATAACGGTTTGTTAGTCTTTACGTTTTAGAAAAAAAAAGTGACTATCGATGTTCATAAACAAATTTATGGCGCGCAGGAAAATCTTTGATTGAAATAATGACATTAAAAGCTAAAGCAGCGATACTTGTTTAAAAAAACCGCCATTTAATCACGTGATCGAACTATAATTTTTAGATTCAATATTAAGTTCATTAAATATGGTCTCATTGAAATCAATGACAATGTGTGCTAATTATGTACCCACTAATCATTATTTTTAAATATATTTAAAACTAGAACGTATCCCGACCTTGTGCCTTTAATGTCAAAAGGTATTTTAATCTAGTAGTTCTACTTGTGAAATTGGACTTAATTTTAATGTACATAAATATGATTCTTAAATACAGGGTGTAAACGATTCACTCGTGGGCTGGTCATTCCAGACTATCAAACAAAAGCTTTACACGGGTTTTTGCGCAGCACGCAATGCAATGCAAAGTTGATCTGACACGGGTCAAGGGTCGCACATGAAACGCGTCAACTACCCTCACTTTTATTTACGGGTTCACGTAACCTGAATTGTTTTAAGCGTCAAGCATCCCATGATTTCGTAATGTCAGATTTTTATTTAATTCATAACTACTTGTATACTGAATTATTGTGGTTCGAATATTTTATCTCTGGACTCTCATTCTACATTTTATTTACGTATAGTTAGTTGTTCACATAAAACTTGTTCTTGAGAAAGTCGCTTATAATATCTTTACTTTTTTATGTTGACTTTTAGACAGACTTTTTTTTTTATTGCCCGTGTAGGCAGACGAGCATACAGCCCACCTAATGGTGAGTGGTTATCGTCGCCCATGGACGTCAGCAATGCCAGGGGCAGAGCCAAGCCGCTGCCTACCGCTTAATACTCTCCACAAGCCTCGTTTGAAGAAGAACATGCTATAGCGCTCGGGAAACACCGTGGAAGGGAGCTCATTCCATAGCCGGATGGTATGCGGCAAAAAGACTAGAATACGTCCCACCTGATGGTGAGTGGTTATCGTCGCCCATGGACGTCAGCAATGCCAGAGGCAGTGCTGTCTAGAGTCAAGCCGCTGCCTACTAATTAAAATTAATTTGAAAAATTTTCTTTATTATACATTGCTAAATAATCAAATCCCTAATTCTAGACAAATGTTTCATTTTCATTTTAATATATTTTTACTTAAATTCTTTACTATTGCGTTGTGAACGTTCAACTTCTTGCATTTTAATTCCATATATGCGAAATGACCGCCATTTTGTTTCACATTAATGATAATTTTACACCCTGTATTTATTGAATTGTTCGAATATTAGGAAAAGTTAATAAGAGCTACAGATAATATATACCTTATGGAGTTGTCGGGGATCTGACTCTGATTTTCTAGAATGTTCCTTAATTCTTCATGTCTCCTCAAGCACTGAAGCTTGAGTTGGTCGTAGTCAAGCCAATTAGCAACCTCTCGAGGCAAGGCTTCGTTTTTCATCAACAAACTAAAACTAACATTCCTATAATGACGTAAAAACTTCTCGTCGTCCGAATAATCTGNTAATATATACCTTATGGAGTTGTCGGGGATCTGACTCTGATTTTCTAGAATGTTCCTTAATTCTTCATGTCTCCTCAAGCACTGAAGCTTGAGTTGGTCGTAGTCAAGCCAATTAGCAACCTCTCGAGGCAAGGCTTCGTTTTTCATCAACAAACTAAAACTAACATTCCTATAATGACGTAAAAACTTCTCGTCGTCCGAATAATCTGTGTCCTCATGCTGTATTCTGAATCTTTCCTCGTCCAATGCCGTTTTCAATTCTCTCCTGAGCGTTTTCAAGAAGTCCCTTGCCGATTTCGGTCGTGTCACGTATTCGCAGTCTTGCACGACGCCATTTTGCGAGTAAATCACTTGAACAAAATGGCGGCCGTCGGTCAGCTGACGCAGTTTTAGGCCGCGACTGAAACAACAGAGATTTTGTTAACGTTTTAGCGAATCGAACGATAATGTGTTGAGAATGAGGAGGCGAGCAATGGTGTTAAGAAAAAAATAAGGTTTTATTAATTTTCTTTCAACTAATATTTTGAAATAACTACAATTACATTGCACTGGTGTTCGTAGTAGCGTTGTATTAAGGGAAGTGAGTGCTAAATGACTGCGTTTTGAAGGCTTAACTTTTGTCGTTGAGTAGGTAGCGTGAGCGCATTTTTTTTATTGCTTATTACCAGAATAAGTATGAAAAAAAGAATCGAATTCATTCTTAGTTTAACGTACAATGCCGAGTTAATATACCTTGATTACGAGTGTTTTGATATATATCATATCGACACGCCCGATCGATGTACAGTGCAGTACTAAAAATTAATTGAGATTTAAAAAATACATATGTACGAAGCATTTAATGTAAGCTCATTTCGAATAAGATTTAACTGCCACTAATCGTATCGGGTTGGCTTAAGGTGTCTATTCGAGGCCGCGGGCTTAAGCTCTCACGAGGTCCCCGCACTTAGGGGGCGCGCGGGGTATGTGGTTCTTGACGATCTGTAAATGTTGGGAGCAGACCGCGGGCCCAAGGATGTTTTAGGGTCTCACCACACTAAATAATTCCCCTGCACTCTTACACCCCATCTCCGTCCAGGGTCAGAGCCCAATCAGAGTAGGAGGGTTCCCGCGTTCAATACTACAAATAGAATCGCGGAACTACCCCGTGGAAGCCCGATCGAGGGGTCGTCGAGGCGATAGTCGACAACCAACGACGCCGGTCTCCGCGGTACGGCGGCCCTGCCAGGCGATGGGTCACGACCAGCCTGCCGGGTCGGAACGCGATACACCGCCGACTGGGTTGCTCTTCCACAGCATGTTCGGCGACGACAGTGAGGACGACAGCGCGAACCGCATCGCAGACCACAGCCGCCAACGCGTCGTCTCATCCCCCTAGTGCGAGCGCGCTAGAGTGACGGTAGCGTGCGGCGCAACCTAAGCCCCCTCAGGTAAGGGGCTATACCAACTTCCCGCGGACCGGTAGGTGAGCTCACGGGCTTAACCTAAGAGAATAGTTAACACTAGCACTAGCAAGAGCTTCGCTGAATCTACCACCGGATCGGAATCTCCACCCACTGAGAAGATCAAGCGAAAAACTCAGTGGGTTGTGGTGTAAGTTAGCCAGTCGACATGATGCTTCGGTGTTCGGGATTGGTTCTTGTTTAATAGATGGCGCTGTATTCAAAATCTAAGCGTTTCATTTACGGTACTATTTATTTATTAAATATGTATTTAAAGATAGATTAATGTTTGTCTCGAAAGCATTCTCGCATCGTTGATCCGATTGCAGTGAAACTATGTGAAATTTAAACCGGTACTTAAAAAACTTGGTATAGTTGCTGTTCATGCTACAATGAAGGGTTCTACTATAGTACCATTAAAGCACGCTGGATGGCGCTCGAGTTGTTTCCAGAAATAGACATTTTTCATACAGCGAAATCACAACGGGCATTGTATTTCGCTACTTAAGTATAAATAATCTGGCACAGAACAGAATACCGTACGCGCCGGATTGCTCAGTTGGGCGTTGAGGTTAACCGCATGAAAATCGTGTGCCCTGTCGCGTTCTATCGCATTCATATTTAAATTAAAATCTAAGAGAAATGCATTACTGTAATATCTTCATATTTCTTTTATATGTAATCATGAATTTTAAGATGTTATCTTAGTTTACTTCCACTTAATACTTTTACTCGCGCCTTCGCTTATTTTGATGCAGTCAAATTTATATCTATTCGGAAACGTTACGATGTTACGTTCGTAATTTCGTTATGTGACTTAGTTTGTTAATATTGTTACTCCGGTAAGAGTAACGCCATCTATCGCCGCATAGCTGAACGAAAATCGAAGGATCTAGCAGCATCTAGAACCCACGAGAAGTACAACGCCATCTATTGTCAGATAGTGGAAACACTCACCGAAGGTACTCGACTTGTACCTTCTCTCTCTCTTCGATTCTCAACGATTCTAGGGATGTCGTATCGAGTATAAAAGCGCTGTAGGGATGACACGCAGTCAGTCAGTAATCGGAACTACTCGAAGCGAAATAGCGAACGGATCACCTGAAGCGAAGCGGAAGAAGTGAAATGAGTTTTTTAAAGTTTTCTGTGAATGTTCTAAGTGCAAATACAGTTTTAAGTTGTATTAAGGTAGAATTTTATTTATCCCGAACTCCAGCGCGTAATAATTTAGTGTTTTTCCAAGTTTTTAAGTGTAATAATTGTGTTTTTTCCTTTCAAGTCATCCAATTTCGTTTCTACAGGGTAGCCATCGGAGCGCCGTGATACGTGAGCAATTTAGATCCTCACGAAGACTTCCATACGGAGTCTCTAAGTAACTGAAGTGAGAATCAAAATGCTTCTTCGAAAAAGCCTCTAATTAAATGACTGACCTAGATGACGAGGCAACCCACAGCCGCTGTTGCCCTAAACATATCCTTTCGGAACATCCTGATTCATACGTTTCAACCGTGAAGCAGTAATACGTTTCTGCCGTGAAGCAGTAATGCGTTTCGGTTTGAAGGGTGGGGCAGCCGTTGTAACTATACTTGAGACCTTAGAACTTGTATCTCAAGGTGGGTGGCGCATTTATGTTGTGGATGTCTATGGGCTCCAGTAACCACTTAACACCAGGTGGGCTGTGAGCTCGTCCACCCATCTAAGCAATAAAAAAAAAAAACGTTTCAACTAGACCATAGACACAGCCCAATGAGTAACTCGCCGGATATTTTCAGTGGGTCGCGTTTCCGATCCGGTGGTAGATTCAGCGAAGCACTGCTCTCCCTAGGGCTCTAGTCTTAGCAAATTCTCTCAGGTTGAGCCCGTGAGCTCACTTCCCCGTCGATACGTAGCCCCGTCCGCGCGTAGCTGGCATAGCCTCTTTGACTACTCAGCACTTAGTTAAGGAATAAATGGTGGCTTTTTATTCGTTTAGCATCTGTGGTAGCGCGGGAAAACGCGGTAAAATGAAGCATACACGATGTATTATCCCATCCATTAACGGTGTTTTTAGGTACCACCAGCACCGGTCACCGTCCTCGTAGAACCCGTCGCTCGCGACGAACTGCTCGACGAGCGAATTAACCCACAGACACAGCCCACTGAGTTTCTCGCGGGATCTTCTCAGTGGGTCGCGTTTCCGATCCGCTATAATAACCACGGTACGGTATGAGAGCAAAGAGAAAAAAATATTGTCAAACCAAGGGCGCATTGTAATGTAAAATTCGATTACCGTTGAATTATGAGCAAATGCGTACGTATCGATTACGCAAGAGAGCTGTCAACGGGCATCATCTGATCTGATTTGTTAGGTCGATGTAATACAACAGCGAACAATTCGATGGTTAATATTTATTTTACTTCGATCTATTTCAATTAACATCGAGCTGATTTTCATCGTCAAATGCCAAGTGACATCTTGATATTTTATTGTAAGATTTAAAACTTTTTTAGTGCTTCGGTGTGTAGACGCGCTCACGGCCCACCTGGTGTTAAATGGTTACCGGAGCCCATAGACATCTACAACGTAAATGCCGCTACCTACCTTGAGATATGAGTTCTAAGGTCTTAGTTTTTTACAGTACAACGGCTGCCCCACCCTTCAAACTGAATCGCATTACTGCTCCGCAGCAGAAATAAGCGGGATGGTGGTACCTGCTCGTGCAGACTCGCATAAGGTCCTACCACCAGTAAAATTTCTTGTTGTCATTTTATTATTCACGTAACGATACACACCCTAGTTACGTACTGTTCCGAGATAATCTAGCGTCTATAGAGAATCAGATATTAAACCCTAAAGATACCTAAAATTTGATGTTACTCACTCAAAATGGCGTCATTAATTTATACTCTCTTATTATTATTATTATTATTATTTTATTGCCCTTGTAGGGAGACGAGCATACGGCCCACCTGATGGTGAGTGGTTACCGTCGCCCATGGACTTCAGCAATGCCAGGGGCAGAGCCAAGCCGCTGCCTACCGCTTAATACTCTCCACAAGCATCGTTTGAAGAAGGAATATTAGCTTTATTATTTGCGTCTAACATAATATTTCGACTTCGATACGTCTGATCAACGCACGCGCGTCAAGGATTGATGACGTCACCACAATCATTTTGTAACTTCGCTCTAATATCCCGACCGGTACCGACAGGAGACCAAAAAAAATCAGACCAAATTAATTATTAGTTCGGTTTGCTATTTAAGCATGTTTTGTTTTTAATTTTTTAAACTTCATAGGTGTATTTAGCATTACTAGTGGTCCCCGCAGTAGTCGAAATTCGACTATAGTTCATTGAAATTAAAAGTTTAAACATTAGTATAGTTCTATTGTCAAAGACAATTTATTACACTTTCACCAAGACTACACTTTAGACAAATATTAACAAAGACAAACAATATTTAATCTATTCTCAACTTGACCATAGACTTTATGCAATAAGGAAAGTTTGACAATAAACAAATAATATGCATGTGTGTGTGTGTGTCAAATACATGGTAGTGTGTGTAATGCTTTCTTTATTGATTTAATGTATGTTTTATGTATTATTTAAAAAAAAAATTAGCATTGTGCACTTCTTCTCTATATTCTCTATAAGTGTGGGAAATTTCATACTCCTCCGTCCGCGCAATTTTCGTAAATAGGGGTACAAAGTTTTTGCTTCACGTATTATTATATAGATTTATCGACTGATTTTGATTTAAATAAAAAAACACTGTAAATTTTTCGAACTCTTGTTGTGAACTCAAAGAAATGTTATTTCATTATTATCATAATTAAAATTACATATATATATATTTATATACCGTCATGTTGGTCTATACTCTATACATTTGTTACAAGAGTGTGGTAAGTTCGCATTTCGTTCGTGTCCGGTGCAACATGCATTGCTACTTTCGCATAGCACCATCCTTTGCGG